GTAGAATATGGCATAAGTTAGAATAAGTAGTTGAACAATACGAAATGTAACAGCAAAAAGTATATTAGGTATTGTAACAATTTTTTGAGCTAAAACAGATGTAGAAAGTCGAGACACATTAGTAAAGAAAAAGAAAATACAATCTGTTATTTCATTATTTAAAAATAAATCTTCGCTCTAAGGCATACGCTTAACGCTGCGCTGGAGTACAAAAAATCACGTTTTCTATTCTAAGGATACCGTCGAATAAATCTTGACATCTCCCGCCTCTCAAATCACCTTTTCTATACTATGGTTGAAAAATTGTAATCCAAATATATCCAAACTCTATCAGAAAAATTCAATTTTGATTCTTTTTAAATTAGTTTTAGTGTCTTTCATATCACTCTCGACTTTCAATCGACTTTCAAGGCCAATTAAGAGATCTTACTGTTTCGTCGACGGAATCTTTTTTTCGTTTCGTCGATACTTTAAAATTTCTATTTGATCGGTAAAATTTTATTCCGGTTTTTGTCGACAACTTTTTTATCCTAAAACGTCGACCAAAGCTGGCAGTGTGTAAAAGTAATTCCCTAAACGTCGACACAATTTTCTTCTAGCAGAATTTATAAACTGAACAGTGCACTGAGTGACTTGGCCATATGGGTTATAATAACTATAGTGAATTTTCTTCGACTATCCATGTCATCGACTATAAAGTATTGAAACAAGTTAAAATTAATAACTAATACAATAAAATGTACTCAGTTATCGAAACACAGAAAGGAAAACCACGTTTACTACTTAATGGCTATCGGTATTTGAAAGATAGAACGCTTAACAATAATATCTATTGGTGTTGTGAGAATCGATCCAATTGCTCTGGTCGTGCTACACAAGAAGACAATAGTGCTCCAATTCTTACAGCACCACACAATCACGAACCAGATGAAAAACGTAATTCTTGTTAAGACTTTCGTACAAAACTAAAACGTCGAATACGCGACGAACCATTCTCTGGAAGGAAATTATTCCGTTCAGAATCAATATCTGCTCAGATAACAAATCCAAGTGGTATCTCGATATTGCCACAGTTTTTGGAAATTAAAAACTCATTGTATCATACAAAAAATGAAAACTATCCATATCTTCCAAAATTAATTGATAATATGAAGATTGAAGGTATGTTACATTATTGTCTCATTAAAAAATTTATTTAATTAGAAATGCACGGATTTTAGATTTAATGGACCGTTATAAAAAGGGTACATTAACTACGGATGATTATCTATCAAAAATTAGTAAAACAATCGATAAAAAACAGGAGAAAATACCAATAACAGATGAGACGTTTCGGAAAAAAACAGTGTCGACAATTGAAGACAATTAAGGGCCTGTCGACGAATCGGGAATACACCCTTTTAAACAATTCCTGATTTTTTATGTGCAAACTAGACGAAAATCAGCACATAAAACAAAAATAGAATTCTTTTTTGATCTTTTATCCCGAAGAAAAGATAGTGTTTTCTGTGATACTCGATTTCATAGACTGTGAATTTTAGAAAAAATATTTTCCATAAATGTATATTAACCAACTTTATAGTCACTCACTTTCATATTCAGTAACACATTCCAAAGCAAAACTTTTTATCTGACGAAGAACCATTATCTATCGTAGAAGAAAAACCAGTTAAATATCTGTACATAGATACGTTTCAGGTGACACCGCAAACTATCTTGGCATCTTGTTTTCAATATGATCATGATAAAGTTTTAAACATACACGCTTACATGATCATTTCCATACAGTAGTTCGTATATTTATCATGGTTATTAATACAAACAAGCAGTAAGTTTTGACTACAATCTGTTTTGCCAGATACAAAAATAATAAGAATTCTGTTTCATTTAATCTTATCTGCCACATTTTCTTTGTTTTTGAATGACATGGTAGCTGTGACAGGTTAAGGGATAAAACAATCATTTGTGAGCATTGATAATTGACAAAGTTTTTATTATTATACCAATATGTTTAGAACAACCAAAGCAATGTATCTGAAAAAGATATATGTTCTAATACGTACATTGATAACTACACAATAATCCAGTAGACGTTTTTCTATTATTGTACTTTGTAATGTATCATGCAGAGAACTAAAATAACTGAAACTCAACTATAAAACTGAAATATTCTAAAAAATGCTAAGATTGCGATTGCCTAGTTAGTCTAACGACTCGAATTCTATAAGTAAAAGAGTCTTTGCTTTGATTTATCGTTCAGAATTTTTCGTTTATAGTTTTAGGAACATATTTGAATGCTAATGATTCTTTAGATGGA